TTTTTTTTTTATTTTTATTTCTAAGGAATTTAGAAAAATTCTTTAAAAAACTCAAATACTTCATATATAGCTTGCTTCAAAATCTAGTTAACCCGGGCCTAAAGAAATCAATTAACAAGGTTAACCGACTTTTGAGCCACCTTTTATCTAAATCTATATATATAGAAGACTTTTTAAAAATTATTTAATTGGTTTTTAATCTATTTTACTTTCTAATAAAACATGAGGAGGAGAAATTTTTAGAAGAATTTCAGTTAAATTTAAAAGATCCAGCGACTTTTTTTTTTAGTTTATCTAATAAAACATCGTTAGATTTCTTTGCCCGGAGGTTATTTAATCACTTAAAGAACTATTTTTTTCATTATATACTCGTGGAAACAGTTTATTTAATTTAAAATCCTTGTCCCATTAACATACTTCATTCTAAGAAAACCGTTCCAGTTCAATGAACTCATAAAAATATCATTAAATTAAGAATAAATAGCAAGCTAAACCCTTTCTTTAGTTAATTTGTAATTTTATTTTTATAAAAATTATCCACGTATTCATTAACATTTATTCACGCTATAGGAATCTACAAATTAGAACACCTGTTCGTGAAGCATCGCGTGATGAGTGACGCAAATTAAATTGTTTAATTATAATTTATAGAAAATTAAGTGGGGAAAATCGTGCCAAAAAAAATCGATACCTGCTAAAGATTTTGGCACCAATTTTTTAACTTTTGTCATCACGAGTTGGGAAGTAGAAAGCTGCGAAAAACAAACATAATACCTGAACTCTAAAGGTAGTTGATTGATGTTTTCGTTATCTTCTAGTTTCAAATCGAAGACGGGAGATAATTCCCATGCGGGATTAACGTACTGAATAACTGGAGAAGGTTGTACAGAATCCTTGTTGATACACGTCGAAGTGGATGTTGATGGCTCCATGGCAGTAGCTCGTCTCCATCTGGATCCTTCTCTAACAAACACACGCTATATCAATACCACGTGTGTCGTAGTTCGAGTTTCTCCACTTGGAGCGACACCGTCTGCTTATCATCCTGTTTTATCTTGTGATGAGGAAACGTTAAGTGAAATCATCTTAGTTGAAAGTAAAATCGTTGTTAGTTGCACGAATAAAATTAAAGCTAGGAAGATTTCTTACTCACCCACTTGTAATAATGGGTTTTTTTTCTGAGTATTTGATAATTTTTTCTTTTAAATTTTCTGGTTTATTAAGAAAAATAATGATATTTTTATTTAAATCGAACTGTTTTTTGTATAATTAAAATATGATGATATAAAAGAAGCTGAAGATGAAAGATGTTGAGTGATGAGTTGCTGGAAGATGCGTATTTATAATTTCTTTTTTAATATTAATAAATTAAGTGAAAATTATTTTAATTTATAGAAAAATATTTTTTAAATAATTCGAAATAAAAAAATACGAAGATGATTAAAAAAAATGATCATTGTAAAATTAAAATTATAAATGAAGTTGTATAAAGTAGTAAATGATGATAACAACTACATGATGATGAATCTTTTTGTCTTAATTTTTCCTATATTTGATAAATGAGAAAAGAAATTATTGAAGAAATAAGGAATTATATAATAATATAATAAAAAAAGCAATGACTAAAAAGTAAAAAAGGTTGATATTTTGTTTGTCAATTTTTATTTTTATTTGTTATAATAATATTAAGAAAAATACAATAATGAAGATAAAAATACCAAATATGCAAATAAAACTCGTGAATAAATATTAAATAATTATCTTTTACTAAATAAAAATATATATTAAAAAATAAAATGCACTTTTATCACTATGTTAATTTAAAAAATTTGAAACTCACTCTTGAGAAAATTGTATGGTAAACTTTTTATGATATATAGTTAATGTAAGAATTAAAATTGAAATAATTTCATATTAAAAATTTATAAAAGTTTAATAAAATTTCTTAAATTTTAATTTATTATGAATAGAAATTTCAACCCCTTCTAAAACATTTAAATGCCTCAATTTAAAAAAAAAAAAAAAAAAATTATTTATCATCTTCAGTACATGTTCAATTTTAAGAGAAATATATATATATATATATATTTCCATTTCTCTTGGTTGAAGAATTAGAGAAGGTTTCTAGAGTGATGTTGCTATGACAACATGTCTGAGGTAGTCATTGAAGTGATGAGAGTTGTCCAGGGAAGAGCATTCCCATCTCCAGAAATGATTTTTATGATGAAGAATAAAAGGAAAAAACTACCATTTCTGTTGTTAAACTAAGGAAAATTATTATTTTCTTTATAGTTTAAACTCTACTATAAAATGATACTAAACAATAAAGACACTTAAACTTTAAAAATAAAGTATCAATCAAGTTTGCTTCATTTAGTTTTAGTTTAGTATGATAGGTTTACATTAAGGTTAGTTATAGCTCTTAATATAAAAAATAGCATGTAGTAATAACTAGATGTAATGCAGCAGGGATGCTGTAAGAGTAGAGGTGAATGACAGGTTGCTTTCTTTTTTTACTTTCTTCTAGCACTTAGTAAATAAATCAGATGTAATAAACCTCAAATTGTGTGAAAATATTTACACAATAAATCTGTTATAAATGCTTTCATATCTCTGAAAGAACTGATAAACAGTAGGAAGAGATTGGGCTATATAAAAGAAACTCTATTGTTAATAAAACATATTAGTGCAAAAATTTTAAATATATGTTTAATACAATAGTAAAACTTTATTAAATTCAATTAAATTTATTCTTTTGAACAAATTTTTCTATTCAAAAGTATTTGTTAACGAATATCCCTCAAG